ACACCGCCAAGAGGATTAGCGAGGGGGAACAGAAGGGGTCATGAGCTTGCACGGTCCGCCCCTGAGCTCGCTGTGGGCGGCTCGGGCGCGATTTTTCCTCCCTATTCCACTCCATATTTTCGCCCACAGCCGCCATGCCCGCCGCGAAAAAGGATCGCACGACACAGCCGGATCGCCTTTCCCTTCCGCCGCCTTCTCCCTGCCGACGATTCGCCAATGGCCGCCAAGGGCGTCCCCGGATCGGTGTCGGTTCCAATGGAGATGGAACGTGAGCCGCGCTCGCTGGCCTCTCGGCTGCTTCCGCCTGGACTGGCCGACAATGTGCTCGCGCTCTCGCTCTGTGCACAGGCAGCCTCTCCTCCCACCCTCGCTCCCACACGCGCCGTGGCGCCGCCGCCGCCGCCGCCGCCGCCGTCGCCGCCGCCGCCCGGTCCCACGCGCCGCCGCCTCACGCCGCTGGGTCCACCCTCTCCGCGCAGGTCGGAATGCTCGCCCGCTTTGCAATCGGCCTCGGCACGAGCACCGGGTGGAAGGAGGGGCGGGGCTTCAACGCGCAGAGCTCGCTCTTCACCGTGCTGCCGGCCAACATCGTCGGCTGCCTGATCATGGGCGCGCTCGCCGACGGAAAAGCCGTCGCCTCGCTGCTTCGCGCCGCTGCGCCTCCGCTCGACGGCGGCAGAGGTGCAAAACAGCGTCTAGTCAGTCGGTGGGTGGGGCGAGCTCCTAGCACACGGAGGAGGGGCCCCACACGCACACCCTGCGCACGGTTCGCTCGGGCCAGCCGGCACGCCACGAGCTGTGGGAGCCTGACGCGTCCCCCGTCCTGCCCTGACCCTGCTGCCCTGCAGGGCTGGAGATGGCGGGTGGCGAGGCGCTCCCCCTGGTCGGGCGCACGCCGAAGGCGTGGGCGCCGCTGCTGCTCGGGCTGCGCACCGGCTTCTGCGGCAGCCTCACCTCCTTCTCCTCCTGGAACCAAGCCGTGGTCGCGCTGCTCGTGACTCACTCAAAGTGGCGCGAGGCTGAGAGAAGCGGAATACGTGTTTTTGTATCCGAACTAGCGCCCGAGAGGGCCACGTATTCCGCTGTACTCACCCGTAGTCCGCTGTATTCACTGTCCTCCTCTCCGTTGCATTCACGCGGTGCTCTCAACACGCTGCACAGTCCCGTATTCCCGCCCTGAGGTTGGCGTCTTCAGCACGTAGGCGCGAGGCGCTCGTGGCGGTCACAATCGGCATCCTCCTCCCCTTCGCCGCCCTCCTCCTCGGCCACCGCCTCGCCCTCTTCGCACACCTCGCCGACCCGCTCCGCCGCCGCCGCCCGCCGCCGCCGCCCGCCCTCCCCCACGTCGACGGCGCGCCCCCCTCGCCGCCGCCCTCGCCGCCGCCCTCGTCGCCTTCGCCGCTGATTGCGCCGAATCTGCGCCACAGTGGCGACGGCGACAGGTCGCTAGACGAGTTGGTGAGCGAGCGGCTTGAGCGGGCGCGCAGCTCTCGCAACGCGTCGCGCACAAGCTCCGGCGCCGCAACGCCCGCGCCCCCGTCGACGCCTCCCTCACCGCCGCCGGCGACCGCCTCCAGCGGCGCCGCGCCGGCCAACAACGGGCCTCTCTACCGCTGGCTCGCCGTCGCGCTGCTCGTCGGAACGTACGCGGCCATCGCTGCGAGCGCGGCGACGATCGAGCCGAAGGACGTGGACGGCGATTCGTTCCGCGACTTCAAGCTCTGCGTCGGCATCGCCACCGCCCCCTTCGGCGCGCTGCTGCGCTGGAAGCTGGGCAAGCTGCTCAACGGCGTGCTCCCCCCCCCCCCAAAACACACACACACACACAAACACACAAACACACACACACACGCACACACACACACACACACACACACACACACACGCTCACACACACACACACACACGCACACACACACACACGCACACACACACACACACACACACACACACACACACACACACACACACACACACACACACACACACACACACACACACACACACACACACACACACACACACACACACACACACACACACACACACACACACACACACACACACACACACACACACACACACACACACACACACACACACACACACACACACACACACACACACACACACACACACACACACACACACCCACAGACACACAGCCTCTTCCCCTTCCCCTTCAAGACCACAAGGGCGAGGACACGCGCAGGGGCCGCACCTCTAACGAAGCCCACAGAGTGGGAGACTCCTATCACCGCCCTGCCACCCACGTGAGCCTTTTGGCCGCGCCGCCTCTGTCAGTGTGCCCGTGGTAGTGAGAGACTGCTGGTGAGAAGCCGGAGGAAGGTCGCTAGTCGAGAGAGATCGCCACAGTGGAATAGGGAGTCCACCGTGCCCGCGGCGGCTGCTGCGCGCACGCGGCGGCGCCGCTCTCTCGCGCGACGGCTGGCGCCGCGGCTCGCCGCCGGCGCACACCGCGCTCGTCCGACCACCCGCGGCGTGGCGTGCGCGGCGCAGCGCGCCGCTCTGGGAGCGCTTCTGCGCCTGCACTGGCTCTCTCTGGTGCTGGTGGTGGTGGTGGTGATGGTGCTGCTGCTGGTGCAGATGCTGCTGCTGGCGCGGCGCGGCTCGGCGACTGGGCTCGACGCGCGCGTCGCGAGCATCTGACACGGCGGCGTCGGGCAGGTTGCGCATCTCTCTCTGGTGGTGCTGCTGGTGGTGCTGCTGCTGCTGCTGGTGCAGATGCTGCTGCTGGTGCGGCGCGGCTCTCCGACCCGACTCAACGCGCGCGTCGCGGCAATATGACGAGGCGGGCGGCGTCTCAGGCG